TAATTTGGGTAGTAGTTTTTGCCTGATTATATCGTTTTTATATATTTTTGTTAATTGAGTCTTTTATTTGAAACTGCATATATCCAATTACTTGCTGTTTAAAGAATGCAAATTGTAAAAACTAAACCTTAAAACTGAAACTGACATTCGGTATATCTAAACAGCTTGTGAATAATGTCATTGAATTTGGTATAATTCAGGATATAGAGATGTTTATCGTATCCGCAGAACGTTGACACGATCTGTCACATTGGTACCCGTAATTGCTAGAAACGGAAACTGTATTCCGGCATGATATATTTGTCGCGACATGCAAATTATTGTTATAAATAGACCTATCTAGTTACCTTTATAAATATTATTAGAATACTAACATTTTCGTCGCGTATATTTTCTAAAGAATTATTAGTAACGGTATAACAGTACAACCTTTGCAATTAATGTACATTTAAAATGAAGCGAAATCTATTTTTAGAGATAATGTAATTAAGCAGTCAAGAATACTTTAAATCGCCAGACACCATTTGAATTCAACCAAATTTACTGATTGTATCATTGAGTTTTTAAAATTAAATTGCTTCTGTTTTTTTTTTTTCTAAATTGTCAATCATGAACTGTGACAGTAAGTATACTGCGTATTATCTTTAAATTTTAAATCTTGGATGTCATAAGAAGGAACTAGAGGAATAAAATACAGTGTGGGAAATGAGAAGTAAAATTACAGGGTACTCAGGTTTTAGGTTTTCTCATTACCAAGAATATCCCAGAATATTCTTTTTTTTTATGGAGGCTAAGCAAAGTAGCCATACCCTGATGGTATACAGGTAATCTTGTCCAAACGTGAGAGTTATCATTACAGAAATTTATTCTGTGTTGGCAATCGACATCTTAACAAATGCATCGCTTCACGCCCCTTTTAAATGCCGCAGGATTATAGGTAGGAGGAAACACTTGACCGGGAAGAGAATTCCGAATTTTTCAAATATTGTATTTTATAATACTGATGTCATATTTTTCTATATTGATTGATCGTTAACGTGTTTAGAAACCCATTTTTTATAAAAATACCAAAGAAAGAAGAAAATCTTTAAATAAAACCGTATACCTAGCCATTAAGCTAGCGTGGTAAGTTACGTATATCCTCCTCTTATAGATAGAGAAATATGTCTAGCAATGGTACCTGATGAGATGAGAGATGAGTTGTTAAAGAAGAAAAGCAGAATGTAAAAATATATAAAAATCTAACAATAATGATATATAGATGAAATTGAATTTTAATCCAGTTTTATCTAATATACAAAAGTGACCCGACATGTCAACACCCACAATACTGTTCTAGCGATATATGAACAATCGCAGCCTACGATTCGCATGGATTCGAAATTTACAGCTCAATATAAATCAGTGAATAAGTATTCCTCCTTATAATTTATGGAACACTCGTAGACCGTTGTTGGAGGGTAATGGATGCCCCCGCAGATATCAGTGGTTGCCGTCTTTAAATTACTCACTGCTCAGGAAGCAAGCACCGCTAGTGACTGCTAAGCCACTTAATGTTTCTCACACTATTAAGATAAGGAGGCTCGAATAAAAATAACCTTTATCACGGTTAAGCTGTAATTGTTTCTAGTACTTCCTAATCGTGTTAATTAATTTGGGGATAGGAGATGGATGGTCTGATTGAATGATAAAAACTTCGCTGGTCAGTAGGTAGGGTTGAGTATTTTTATACATTACCAGTGGAGTGATTTTAAGTTCATAATATCAGACGAAAAATAATCTATGTATAATTATATGTATTGTATAGTGTGTATGTATAGATTAATTAAGTAATAGGAATACAAATTTTGTGATATGGAAAGACATTTATTTTAAAAAAATCTACTGCTATTAAATTAGAAAATTAATTATTTTATAGGTAAAATTTAAGTAATGTGCTAAATTTAACTAATAAAATTTATTGTTTTTCAACCTTGAAATAAATTCAACTTAAATATTTGTGAATGCCATACAGGCTAATTTGGTACCTTAAAATAAATAATTGTGGAAGTTATTTTTAACAGCAGACTTTACAGATTATTATAATTATTTTCTTATTTAACATGGGTCTTGTTTACTTTCTATTCTCTCACTTTAAAGATTACACATCCGCTGTAAATATTGATTACAACATTTTAAACATTTCTACATGAGTACAGAAGGCAATAAAAAGAGGCGCGGTTTTTTTTGCAAAGCTCACAGAATTTTCCGTACACAGAAATTCATACAGAAAATGAATAGAATATTAAATTATGTTGGTCCGCGTTTTGTAAAACTGACGAAGCTTCTTGTTAAGCTTTCAAGAAGCTTTTACGTTAATGAACTACTTATAAAAATATGTATTGACTTTTCATTAAATATTTCGTAGAAGATATATTTAAATAAAAAAAAATAAGAAAAGAAAGAATGCGAAATAATTAATTATTATAAAAAATAATTAAATCATTTTATTATAATACCTTGTCTTAAAATATCTACATGTTTATATAATAAAATATATACAATAAAATAAAATATACTGATTGTTTACTTTCAATTTATAAATTTATCTACATAAAAATATTATGTAGCGACGACCTAAATGTTAGTATTAATATTTTTTTTAGAAAATGTAAGAATATTTTATAGTTGCTTTTTCACATTCGTTATCATTAAATATATTCTGGCTGATTTTACCTCCCAAAAATTTGTTTTCATGTATATGTCTATATATGTATATACATATACATATTTTATTTGTATATCTATGTATTCTGTATAATAATTATCCAGGTGAGATGCATGGAACCATACTTACCATAATTTATTATAATCGTTTGAGAGTGATTGAATGGAAACATCTTTACAAAACGTTATACTCATTATTATATTAGTAAAATAATATTTCTCTAAGACAAAAAAAAGAGAAACAAATTTTTTTATGTAACATTAAAAAAAAAAAACAAAACTTTTGTGTTGGAGAATAAAATGGATGTTGAAGCGTAAAATGAATCAATCCACTGAACAAATCAAACTAGAATTTGATTCAGAGCTCTATTTATTAGGATTTATAACTACTAATAATATGATTTTCTTATGTTCATGCCGAAAGATAAATTAAAGAAGTTAAAATTGGTATATTTGAAACTAGTTCAAAAACACTTCTTAATGAAATATACATTTTATTATTATAATAGTGATAGTTTTTGTATTTAATACTTTATGGGTTTTGTTCTATTTCTATAGAGTATAAGTTTGAAAATGTATCGTACAAAATAGAAATATATCTAACGGATATCTCGTATAAAAAGGTGTACCTCAAGGGTTTATTCTTGGTCCATTTTAAATATTTCATTATTTAATTTTCCCGTATGTTTTGTATGACCAATTAATATTTGTATAGATATAATTATATCAACGCATAAGTTAATTGTTTAGTTGTTAAATAAAATATACTCATATTATAATTTTAATTTATGATTTTTTTTATTTTCTATTTTACTAAAAACGACATCACTTTCAATAGATTAATGTTAATGACAATGTTAGAAACAAATAATTTTATAAAAGGAAAAATAAAAATGTGTGGAAGAGACATATATGCATAAAATAATTTTAATTATGAATGTTTGAAGCATGAAATCATTATGAATATGTGTAAGGTCTATAACCTTTGGCATACAATTCTCTTTGTTGATCTCATAAAAATCTGGAGTAAGGATATATATGGATAGATAATGATATGTTGCATTTAAATATATGCATATAGACTAAATGTTTACGAATTACAGCGATATGTTTTTCAATAATTAAAATAAACGTGTGCAAAGTTACACGAGAACACAATAACCGGTAAAACAATAAAATACTTATTTGAGTCATTTTAAAATAATTAATGTGATGATATATTTTTAATACATATTTTTTATAGTACTTCATATTTTCATTAAATTTTTGCAGATTTAGACATTTTTTATATTGATTTAGGCATTGACTTTAATATACAAAAACTCCTCATATTTGAAACTATATATTATGTATTAAAAATAATAGAATATACTTTCTTTTTAATTAAAATGAAGTAAAATAAATATATCTGCACTTTGACAGCTGAAATAATTATTAGCTATCATGGTTAACATCTTCGTCATTATGTTATAAAAAATTTCTAGAAATTTCCTCTTCTACAAAAAAAAATTGGTGAATAATTTTTTTTTATTTTATATTTTAAGGATTATTTATTTGGCAAAGATATATAGTATAGGGTCTAAAGGATATTATGTGTTTTAAATATACGAAGTGTCTAATATTTATTTTACATGACTAAAAAATAATAATAGTCCATATTTTGTCTTATGTTTTTATGTATGTATGTATTAAACGATATCTTCATATCCTTTTTACAATTTAAAAAGTTTACTCTCTAATGACCCTAAACAAATTTTGTCACGATTGTAGTTACTATTTTAATCTATTCTTTTTATTTATTATTAATTGCTCTGTCATCAATTCCCAATAGCTAGTTAAAATTACTAAATATGAATTGAAAACTTTTACCTGTTCATTAGAAGTTTCAGACTCATATTTGGTAATTTTGACTCGTTTTAACAACCTTTACCACCTTCTTGGAAATATTAACGTACTGTTAACTAGGTACACATCCATTGAGTAAATTAATAGATAGTTCATTGCCAACAACATTTCATTTCTTGGTACTGTACATAAGTAACCGCTTACCACTAAAATATCAATTGATGAATGTAAGTAGAGGTTACACATCACATATGGATATGAAAATACGATTGCAAAAATATTCATATATTCGAGTTCGCATATGTAATGCTCTTCAGGTAAGAGGTTGCCTTTTTGAAAAATTTCAAATTCTGACAAGTATAAATATATTTTGACGCATAAAATATTTGTATCTAATAAAATGTAAATATATAGTTGATTACATTACAATAAGTATAAAGTATACTTACAAAAATGAATAAACTAAACATATCATCTGAAAGTCATAATGTTTGTAATGATAGGACGAATAGGACGAACTGTATTAGAAATCTTTGTATTTCACCATCTGCACCGCACACTCAACAAGTTTATCACAAAGCTCAATTTAAATCAATCAGTTTTTTATTTCCAATATACGTACTAATTCCTTTTATTTCACTTCTCAAGTAAATTCCATAGGAGGTGTACAGTTTCTTTTCAAGTTAAACAGTAAAGTTTCGTATATTTACGTTTGCAACACAAACGGGAACTAAACTCGTAAACTCGAATGGGAAAGTTGCGGAGTCGCGTCATACAGTCCCATCGCGCGGTTCAATTCGCACTGACTTAGTTCGGTGTCATACAATGCGACCAAGCGACTTGAAAGCGACGATGCTGCGATTCATGCGCATGTAGTGGGTAGGAGGAGTCTTCTTGAAAACCACGCCTACCAAGGAGCTACACATTTCTTTTTCAATATGTGTAATTCAATTTCGCTTATGTCTTCGCTGGGAAAGTTGATGCCCCGTTGTCGTTCAACACGATGTTTTTATGTAAACTGTAATGTAGTTCGCGAACCGAGTCGGCCCGTGATGCTACGCTCCGTGTGATTTTCTCTTCTCTTTTTTGTTGGCAATTTCACGTGCTGTTGCTTATTTATATTTAGTGGAGCAAGGAGCTGGCACAACTTTCAAAGTTGGGATTAAGAATGATAAGGGTTAGGTGCATAGGTAATATGAAACCCTTCGTGATATACTCAGAGGTTCAATTTATTAATATAATAATTTAATAATATAATTTTATCAATAAGTCTCATATGGGGTACATTTAAGGTTGATTAAGGATTCAAACAATAAATTCTTTAAGTATCATAAGTATATGAGGTAGCTTATTAGGATGTAAGTATTTTCAAAAGAATTAGTAGGTAAAACAATACAGATGGATAACTTTAAGATACTTTAAGGTTTATGACAAAAACATGGCAAAATTTTTCACAATAATTGTATTAACGTACTGAACATAGTTTTTATAAATCATGGGCTTGCATAATAATTTCTAAACTAAGTTAGGTAAGTATGAATTTTTTATAAGTAAGTATTACATTTAAATTTTGATAAACTTGTTTAAATAAATGAAATTAAATAAAAAATTGGTTTTGGAAATTACGTTCCTTTTCGTCAATATACCTAGTTATGAATAAATATAATACAGATGGAAGCTACTTATTTATTAACAAATACTAAAAAAAAAAACAGCAAAATTTAATTGCATATAATTTTATTTATTATTTCGATAAGACAAGATCTATTAGAGGACTACAAGGCAATAGGCAACCTTACGCATGGCTATGTTACCACCATACTGAACTGTAAAGGAATTCGCTAAATTATAACAGTAAATTAAGCGGCAGTTTCATTTGCGTTACAAAGTGAATTATGTGTCGGTGTCTTAGTTCTGTCACCACCTAAGTTACTACGGTTCAAAATTAATACAGTGCCATAAGCCAACGCTAATACCGCTGCGCCCTGGAACTCCTATTTACCGTATCAAATTTTAAGGTAACCAGCGGTTAAATTTGGACTTTATTATTTGTACGGTAAGGATATTTGTTCAAATGCTTATTGTTTGGTGGAAAGATCGTTTTATAAATATTCAATCATTATTAAGTGAACACCTATTTGTTTTGTGTCGTATATGTAACAGGATCCTAATGACGACTGACATCAATTCTATAAATTACGCACACCTACTCTATGCTTTGACAACTAAACAATTCCCTTCAATAAAATTGTATAAAATTTTGACGTGTATATTAATTACTCTATAATCTCTATAATATATTATATCTATAATATATATTAAAAATAAAATAGTGTTTATTAATTGTGTATAAATAGTTCTTAGTACCATTTACCATTTCGAGTAAGGGAAACTTTTAAAGCTTAATTTTACTTTATGTTTAATACCATAAATGCTACTAAAAAGCGTATTAAGCGCTTCAGAAAAAATAAATATTTATTTTATATTTATTAAGTTGTTAAAAACTTGCATTTTTATATTTTTAGTAAAGCTAAAATTGTAGAGTCAGAATTGAGAGTATCTACAAGAAAGTCAAGTGACTGGATTTCAGTGAGTTAAAATGGATATAGGGCCTGATATATAAAAATCGGTGGCCGATGAAAAAGAAATGTTCCCCAATCTCTAATAGGTAAACGCAGCGCAGGCCGGTCCCACTCTAAATGGTAAGATGACCACAAATGTGTAGGGTGGTTGATAGATGGTTTATAGGTGGGTCGAGAATAGTGCCTTGTGGCAATCGGGAAGTTCTGTATTTATAAGTGGAAAATAAAAATTTATTTTATGATGTTTATAATGAAAAATGTAGTCTTTCACTTGTATCTAAAGAGAACTTATCTGAAAAGAGAATTAACAATTACAATTAATTTTAATTAGAGAACATTACTAATAAAAAAATGTTCCGTAGATAAGATGATTATATCTCAAGTTATATTAATTTGGGATACTGAGAAGAAAAAGTAAAAAAAGTCACTCAAGTTAATGAGTTAGGAGGTGAAATGACTAAGACTCAAGAATAAAAAAAAAAAACTTATGCAAATTTATCGCGTGACGTACTAAAACAGTAATTACAATAATAATAAATAATATTTTCTTATTCAGGACGTGTGTATAAAATCATGTACAAAAAATTGTTCTGTGTGATGTGAATGAAAATATAAAAATAAAAATTCGATTGGCATACTGATAATAGAATTTTTATGACAATTTGATATAGCGACCTTGAATTTATTTCCTTCCCAGACGCATTGACCTTACGGAAACAGAAACGATTAACAATTTAACAGTACATTTTTCATGCAGTCAAGAACCGTAAGCCTAAGGCTCAGAACACATAATCAAACACTTGCACTTGCAAAGAAATCTGTTTGTTTTGGTAATTGGTTTCAAATTGAGAGCCAAATACAATTCTAGTAATAAATAATTGTAGTTGAAAATTTTGTTCTGTTCAAATAATGATATTTTTATTTATATTATTATAGTATAATTAATAGTTATTGAAATAAAAAAAAAATACTTAAAATGAAAAATAAAGCTCATGTATCATTTACATTACTTTAAACTACAGCTTTAGTTAAATTTTTAGTTTCAATACAAATGTTGACATTTAGAAATACATGTATTGTTTGAGAATTCATATTAATTAATATGAACATGTAGCACAATTATTAATTAAGATTGCAGTGTCGTGTATTTTTAGTTACATAGTGTGTTCTTAGCCTGAAGTAATCCTCAAGTTTGCTGTAGATCGGCTCAAGTTAAAGAAAGCAAAAGGGGACGATCGTCGGCTCCTCCCTTGGGCCTCGTTTGTGCCGGAGCGATTTCCACTGCTCGTTCTATGATTAAGTCAACTCTTGCGGGATTTGAAAGCTAGATGATGCTCGATGCTTGCTTCAATGTTTTTAATACAGATATAGTTACATTCAACATCGATTGGATAAGTTTCAAATTAAACTATTTGTTGTAATTATATTTTGTAATTTATATATTAATAAAGGAACTAAATTTTGCAACTTTGCGCTTTTAATCATAGGCAATGCTAAAAAGACAGTGTAATAGAGCTGTACTGATTTTTTTAAATTGAACAGTAGCTTAGTCAATGTTATCAATATATTCGGGCGAGGCATTATTAATGAGAGAAGATATGTAACCACGATAATTTTCAAGGATCCGCGTGAAGGTCGATTCGAGAATCGAGAAGAGATGTTATTTCTTTTCTCGGCTGGCTTAGGAGGATAATCTGGTCAATAGTTTTTATTATATTTTTTATAAATTATTGGCTTATTAATTATTATCAATAGTGTAAAAATTATATTTTGTATCCTGTTCGTACCACTAAGTAGTTGTGCTTGCATGGCTGTTTTTCAATTTGAAGGATATCTCAATCCTTGTAAACGGTAACGTATGAGTGGTATCTGTAATATTCAAAATGCTGTTCAAGGGTATAGGCGATGGTGTAAATTATCGCCTAATTGATTAATTAATTTAAAAGTTAATAAATACTTTTAATTAAATAATAAAAAATATTAACTTTTAATTAGAAATTTTACAGGATAAAGAAAAAGAGTCATGAATGATAACGACCGCTATACTTTCATTATTTTCTGGCTATCACATTTTTTTAGAAAACATGGGTATTATGTTTTCTACAAAGTACCATGATAAGTAAACAAGGCGAAAAGCAATATTTGTGTCAAAAGTTGTTCGTAAGGAAATGAATACTGTTTATTAAAACTATAAATATAATGAAATTGAACATAAATATTGCTTATTACAAAGAATAAAGGCATGTGCAATAAAGGGCAAATAGCGACTGCCAAGTTTGTATAAAGTTCTTTTTTCTTACTAAAGAAAAAGTGTTTGAGATACTGAAAGACTAACTATGATATTAATTTCTAAGAATAAAGTTCATGACAAGTGAAACTCGGACCTTATGCGTTCCATATCGTCGCACGATAACTAAAAAAATCCTTAAATAAATAATACTACTGAATTATGTGTATAATATTTACTTTTTAATATGTATGTTGTTAATAAGAGATACTTTTAATAATATTAATAACAGTATACTGTTACATACATAAGTATAGTAATTTTTTTCTATATCTATTTCAAAAATATTGACTACGATTAGCGACAAAAAATAGCGACTACGATTGGCAATAAAAATAATTTTAACTCACATATTAAAAATAAAATATTTTTATTATCTATCTACTGTAAAAGTTTGACAGCCTTCGAATATATGTACACAAATAAATGTTTTTTTCTTTTGTAATTTTCTCCGATTTAAGCTGTAGTATACCTATCACTTAAGTTAGTTAATTATTATATATATATATATATATATATATATATATATATATATATATATATATATATATATATATATATATATATATATATATATATATATATATATATATATATATATATATATATATATGCCTATTGCCCGCTGCTTTGTATGCAATGATTTCAAAGTTGAATAAATAATAAAATAGACTACATCTAGATCGCATATCAAGATAAAATGTATAATATATATAGGTATCTATTCTTATAAAGCTCTTATACTTTTTGTTCTTAATATTTGTCATGTGTAGTTACAATTGTATTAGTAAAATTTAATATTTTACATAAATCCTAGTGATATTATAAATGTGAAAGTTTATAAAAATATTTGAATATTACTTAACTAAATGAATTTAAATAGAATTTAATATTCAGATAAACAATCTCTTCCATTAATTAAAATCCATTAAATAAAAGG